CAAAAAAAGCATTGAGTGCATTATTTTTTTTCTACATCCTCTGTCACTCGGTTGCCTCCCCCATTCAATTCTGCTTCACTGGGCTGCTTGTGGGGCTTTAGAAGTAAGCAGGAGCTCAAGTGCTTTGCTGGATTGGGGGCACAGTGCTCAGCACCTTTCAGGATTGAGCCCTGAGCTGCTGGCATTTAGCACCTCCTAGAGGCAATACTCTTCTATGTAGATGTCCCAACCTTCTCCCACTGTTTTATTCCCTTCTCAGTTAAACAGAAGGTGCCAGCCTCCTGCCCCAGAACAAATCTCAGCAGTATGCGCTGCAAAAGGGAGACGCGTGCTATTTTTAAGAGAGAGAACCTGAAGGAGAACTCTGCCATTTGTGCTGAGTGCCAGGGCTCTCACCTCTCCTACACGTACAGAGTCATTCTGCCACTTGCCCTCCTTCACCGGGGGGATGATCAGGGCCCATGTTCCCTAGAGCTTCCATCCCTAGAAGACTGGGCATGGTGTAGAGTAGGAGGGAGAAGTGAGGGTGGGAGAGAGGAAATGGAAGGGGGAATAAACTTGGCCAGAGAGAGGGAAGAAATGCTGAGTTGAGATGTGGGAAGGAGGTGTGGTCTGTCTCAAAGGCTGCAGAGGAAAACCCTTTTTAACAATTATGAAGAAACCCCAGCAAGCTGGAGAAGGAGAAGCAGAATGAAGGAAAGGAGTGGGGGGAAAGGAACTTGTGTCTGGCTTTCTAGAAGGCATGTGAATTAGGAATCTGACTTAATGGTTTGGCTCTTTCTAGCAGTAACCCCTCTTCCACTAAAAAAATATGCCCTCCTGTGGATGCAGGGATGGATAATCTCCCTCCGTCTCAGACTCTCCCCCTGTGAGTGTTTATAGCCACCCCCAGCTTTCTATTGCAAATATTGACAGGCTCAGGGACAGCTCTTTGTAAAGCCACCTTTCTCATCAAGAGGGGGGGAAAAAACCCTGGACTTCATGTGCCAGTTAAACGTATCCTACCATGGAGTCTTTGGCCTAGGTTTTCATATGGCTCCTATCAGTGCAGTATCTAAATCTCACAAACCTAATGCCAGTGTTGCTGTTAAAGTGACCACCTTGGCGACTCGGCATTTTATGGGAGGCTGATGTTAAAAGCCGTTTTAAAGAGTCTCCATCCTGCTATAATCCTGGTATAACAATCCGAGCAAGGACTTGAGGCTTTTAATATTTAAACTAAACATTCAATATTTACAGTTTTGGTTAAATATTAAAGGTTTAAAGTTTTTTTTTATTCTGACTGTTCAAACCAGGGATCGCAGCGGATCTAGAACATGGCCTGTCATCTCCGGTATCAGCCTTGTATGGCATGGGCATCTCAGATGATGTGATTTCCATAAGATGGCTGCTGTCAGCTGGAGGAAAA